AATCCCAGAAGAATGGAAGACATCATGGATATCCACCATACATAAAAAAGGCAGACGGGATCAATGTGACAACTACAGAGGCATCGCTGTAACGAACTCGATCAGCCGAATATACGGAAAACTGATTAAAAATAAAATCGAAAACGAATATAAAGATATAGAAGTTGAAGAACAGGCAGGATTCCGGACCATCTGTTTTGTATTACACAGATTATTGAGAAGAAACTGGCCGTCAACCAGGAGGTGCATCTGTTATATGTGGACTTGAGAAAAGCGTATGATAGCATCCCACAGAACAAACTATGGGAAGCATTAGAGAAAACCAATATAAGCGCAAATTTAATAACAGCGACGAAACAATTGTATACCAAAACTGCAGCAAGGGTGAAAGTTGGAAGCGGGCTATCGAGAGGATTCCAAATTAGCCAAGGCCTAAAACAAGGGTGCTGCCTTTCACCGACATTATTTAAGATCTACCTCGAGCAAACTCTAAAACTTTGGAAACGCAAATGCAAAAACATGGGATTACCGATCAACAACAATACAATATACACTTTGTCATTTGCAGACGACCAACTTGTACTAGCGCAAGACTACGATGATATAGAATATATGACAAGGAAATTAATAGAGGAGTACAAAAAAGGTGGTTTGGAAATAAACATAAAAAAGACCGAATATATGTGTATCGGTGGGACACAGCAGGACCTTACACTGGGGAATGGCGAAATTATTAAACATTGCGACGCATATAAATACCTGGGTATGACCATCAAACAAGAAGGAAACGTAGACCGGACGATAGAAGAAAGAAACAACCAGGGAAGAAAAGCAATTACCCTTCTCAATAGCATACTGTGGGACCAGGCAATATCAAACAACAACAAACATAGAATATACAATACAATTGTTAAGAGTATAATCACTTACAGCAGTGAAGTATGGCAAATAAAAGAAAGATACAAAAGAAAACTTGAAGCAACAGAAATGGATTTCTGGAGGCGCTCAGCAGGAAAATCAAGATTAGAAAGGGTAACCAACAACAGAATTAGGGAAATAATGAATGTGAAACACACAATAGTAGATGACATTAGTACCAAACAGCTTAGATGGTATGGACACGTACAAAGAATGTCCGAAGAACGACTCCCGAAACAAATCCTAACGTGGACCCCTCATGGTAGACGAAAAAGAGGAAGACCCCGCCTTAGTTGGAGAGAAGGCATAAATCGAAGTATGAGAGAAAGAGAATTAGATGAAGACCTTTGGATGGACCGAAGTGAATGGCGACTAGGCATCGGAAGACGTAGGAGAACGTTTTAAAACCGATATATATATATATATATATATATATATATATATATATATATATATATATATATATATATATATATATATATATATAGAAGATTTGTCCCGAAAACTTTTTAGTGACGAATCAATATTCGTACTAAGCATGAGCCTTTTCACAAAGCTTGTCCGAAACAGAACGTAAAATGCTAAATGAGTAATGACTTAAGATTGTATGACAGTTTCAGGACTAGGATGTTTTGAATTTATTGAGGGTACATATAAACCAGCCTACTACCAAGCATTTTGGAAATTAAATGCTGGCGATAGTTATATTTTTCAGGAGGACCAAGGGGCCTGCCATACGGCCAGAACTATAAAAAATTGTTTTGAAAACTACAACCTTAAACATTCTTTCAAGGGCCTTCTAATAGCCGTGACTTAAATCTTATTAAAACTTCTTATTACACGAACTTAAAGCGAAAAATAAAGCAGATTTGCAATAATTTACCCTTGAACTGTGCAGATCTTTAGTACAGCCAATGCCCAACCGAAATCGAGCTCAAATAAAGTCTAAGGGCGATGCTACTCTGGTTTAAAAATAATTGTTTATTTTATGTCCGAATATTTAGTAGCCAACAAAATAAATTGTGTATTAATTAGTTCTGTTATAGTAAGTATATTTAGATGTTTGTTGATGATTGAACCTATACTATTACTAATTAACTAATTACAAGCATTACATATACAAAATATTATTAGAAAACAATAAACTACTAACTATCTGAAATATGCATAAACTTTAGTTTGTTCCAATATATAGTTGTTTGGGTTGTTAATAGTTAATTCTAAATATTTCTTGGAAAATCGATATATCATTATTATATTATACAAATGTTTTTAAACGTATACCTTCATACACAAAAAGATATTTTAACAATTGATGTGTTTACGATGCTATTTGAGTATTAACAACATGCTAAAAATAGAATAGGACTTTTGTATACTTACAGACAGCATTGAATTAAGTTAAAAAAATGATTTGACAATAACAAACCCAACAAAAAAAATAAATACAACACAACTCGAAAGATAAGCAAAGAGAAATGGAATACATAGACAAAAAAAAATGAGTCGCAATCGTAAAGAATAGAAGCAGGACAGAGAGTTATGCTAGGGATAAACCATATAGGTATACATATTAAAATATTATTGGAAATACAAGGCTTTCAAATTGTATTTAAAAAATAATCGAAATATGTGAAATAAACAGACTGAAAATTACGAACGGATTCTACCGCCACAAGGATATCCACAAGTTCTCCTGGACCCAAGAACAAAAAACCTCCGAGCTATAATTGACTACTTCATAATGAAAATCGAAACATCGATCAGAGTTACAGATGTCAGAGTTTTAAAGGGGAGCGGAATGTGGTTCTGGCCACAAATTACTGATAGCAAGAGATAGAAAAAACAGTTATATCATAAATGGTTAAGCTCAAAAGAACAAGTGGACCTATTACAGAGAGAAGAACAGAGAGGTAAAAAGATTAATAACAAAAAAAAATGATAACTGGGAATCAAAATGTATGAATATCGAACAATACATAGGAGGTACAAAGAACTCAGAATCCTGGAAAGTGATAAAGAGTCTGAAAGAAAACACACAGGAAAAAACACATTTTACTTTCATAAGCGAACAACAATGGAATTATTACTACCAAGAACTCCTGACATAAAAGCGAACAAAATTCATGGAAAAAGAACAACAAACAACAAATTCAAAGGAACAACTAAATTTATCATTGGAAGAAGTAAAAAAGAACATAAAACAAATAAAAAATAATAAGTCCGCAGGCCCCGGAGGCATAGCACTCGAGCGAATTAAATACGGCTCTAAAAAATTGTTCCGTATGATGCATACCATGTTTCAGAGAGCCTTGGACACCGAACAACAACCTGAAGAATGGTCGACAGCCCATATTATCTTTATTTTCAAGAAAGGGGATAGAAGAAAATGTGAAAATTACAGATTCTTAAAGAGGCTTAAGCATTTTACCATCTATAGGAAGATTATATGAAAAAATAATAAAGGAAAAAATAGAAAAACAAATCCAAAATAAAATAGAGGAAGACCAGGCAGGTTTTACAGCTGAGAAATCATGTGTTGACCACATCTACACTATACAACAGCTAATAGAGAAGAAGATGACAAAGAACAGACCAGTCCATCTAGCCTTTATTGACCTAAAAAAGGCGACTACGACTCTGTGCCCAGACAACGACTGTGGGAAGCCATGGAACAAATAGGAGTAGAAGATAAGCGGATCCATGTACTGAAGTCCATGTACACACATAATAATGTTCCAGTCAACGTAAGTAACAAGTTTGGAAAACCATTTAAAACCACGAAAGGTCTCGTACAGAGCTGCTCGACTTCACCTACACTCTTTAAAACATTTCTTCAGTACGCCCTAAAACCATGGAAAAGGAAATGTGAGGGACTGTGAGTACCCATAAGGAACGACCATCTGTATACCCTCAGTTTTGCCGACGATCAGGTCATAATAGCACAAGACGAGAAATATCTAAGTTATATGGTTCGACAATTAGAAGAAAAACATAATATAAATGGCCTGAAAATAAACATTAACAATACAGAATATCTGAATACAACACAAGAACCAACAAGAAACCTGGAAGTGGATGACGGGCGTGAAATAAAGGGGACCGATAAATTTAAATACCTGGTTTTCATTATTTCAAATAAAGGTACTACAGAAGAAGAAATTAAAAATCTAGTGGGTCAAACCAGAAACTCTATAAAACAACTGAATACAATCCTATAGGACAGTTCTATGTTATGAATCTACTTCCTTGTGCTATTTTAAAATTATTTACTATTTTTATTAGTATTTCAAAAAACGAAAAATTAAAACGTCAAAATTGTATTTTAAAATAAAATTGTGGTTAATTTCAAATAAAACTATTAAATAAGGATTTGAATAGTCGGCAAATACCTCTACTACAAAACAAGAAATACCGGCGTCGATTAAGAAAACAAATATCGATTTCAGTCTATGTTTTCCTTTTTAATCCGTAATTAAACAAGTACATTTTCAAAATTTCAAAATTGAAATCAATTAAATTATTGTAAGAGCCGTAGTCTTCTAGGTTGTAAATAGAGGAAAAGAGATCGTTTAGGCCATATAAAATAAGAAAAAGAGAAAATTATTTGGCGGAAAGTTGTAATGTCAATGAATTATTAGAAAAATTAAGATACAATGGTTGATTTGAGAACTATAAAATCGTATAGATTTAGATATCCGGTCATATTCAAATAATTGATGGGAAAATACGAAACAAAAGAATAAACGTCATAATGGAAATAAAAGATAATGGTCTAAATATGAAAGGTGAAAATGAATGATCAAATGACGAGATGGTGTTAAAACACAAACTATCTATTCATATCTAGAAGAATATATGACAAATAAAAGGATCAAATGAAATAAGAATCTCTAGCCATCGTCGTATCATGCCCGTGGCAAAAATAAATTATAATAAATATATTTTTAACTCCTACGTTGTAAAAAAAATAGCACACAATTTGCACCTTGACTATTTTTGGAAATTTAAACCGCACTCTTGACAACGTATAAATAATGCATAATCAATAAAAAAAACACTAAAACAAATGAATCACTTACACGTCCCAGCACTGATAGTTAACAACAAACAAAATAAAACTTCTTGTTTCATGGTCGATGTGTGTTGGTTGGGACTCGACCGCTTGTTGACTGGTCCATATATTAAAAATCTTATGTATTTATATATAGAAACCAAGACGCTTGCAAAAAAAAAACAAGAATCGGAATTCTCGAGGATATGGTGTCTTTTCCAAGTATGCGGTGTGAGTTATACAAAAACTGCACATATTGAATAATAAAATAGCATTATAAATAAACATTGCGTTTTAAAACTGTATGTACTATACAAAAAGATCGACTCTAAAAATGTTTTTTTTTTTTATTTTCAGGTTTAAAGAATTTCTGTCAAACACATTTTTTTTTCAAAAATTTCGAATTCTTTCGTTGCATCCTGACGTAATATCGAAATAATTTCTATCTAATAATTTTCTAAGACTGGCCCTTTTAAAGATTGACCAAAATTGTTTTAGTGTTTAAAGAAATACTTCCATTATTGAAGAAATGTAAATTACCAAGGGGTATACAACACCTAAAAAAAAAACACTACGTTAAATAAAATTCATCGTTTTTGATGATACTAACAGCAATATCAACTACTTAATGTCTTTATACATGCTTTCGTGTACATATTGTCTAAACTTTTATAGGGTAGGTAAAGTTTAGTGTTTTGTAGTTAGGTATATTTTGTATCTAGTCAGTTTTTATCCTTTATATCATATTCTGTGTCGATCGCTGACAAATCAAAGAATATGAAATGAAGTGGAAAAAACATATAAACAGAATGGATAAAAACTACTAATAAACTTTAGATACTAGACCCGTTTTAGGTTAAAGGCACTTTCTAGAGCGATTCTCCTCATATCTAGAAAGAAAAGTCTACAATTATCTTTTATATTGCAGTTATATTGCAGTATGTGACTTTTGGGCTTAATTCGTAAATTAAGTTATACTAAAAAAAATTTTAATTCATTATATACCTAACAATATATTGACTTATTTATATTTAAAAGTGATAAATGAACATATTTATATAAAATAGCAAAACTATCGGCATCGTGAATCTTAACAAACTCAAAAATACAATTATCATCATATCTTGGTAATCTCTTATTAAGATGTAGTTATGCAAAACAAGCCGTGCTTTAACAATGTCAGTATATATGTGGTTCAAGTTCAACTCAGGTACTTAATATTTGATTATAAAGTGTAGATATTAAATACAAATTAATTACATTTTATTGTAACATTTTTATCATTAATAATTAAGTGTGAAATACCTTAATACACATGCACTGTTGACTCCTACAGAAGCGAGCCTTAGCTCTTTTTGCAACGTTGTTAGTGCCTTTTGCTACGTGATTTTTGTTCCATTACATCAGTGTGCCATAAGTAATTATGGGTCTGACAACTATTGTATATGAATAATAAATCATTTTAGATTTCAAGCATATGTTTTATTGAAAAATTTACGATACAAGGAAATGGCCCTTGTTGATTTTGCGACAATATTTGTATGATAAGCATTTCATAAAGATTTCCTATCAATTCTGAAATACTTAACCCCTTCCAAAAATGATAGTGTTATTTCATTTACAGTTGAAGGTTTAACTATTAATTTCTTCCTAGTTGTGAATAGAATAAGTGTCGTTTTATTATAATTTAAAGTCCTTTTTAAACAACAGGTAGTTACTGAGTTTAAGGCACTTAATATGCACCCATAAAAAAATAAACATCACCACTTCAGAGTTAACCCTTTATAGGTCTGTGGTCGATATTTCGACCACTGCTCTTATTAATACTTATGAGCTAGTAATTGACATGAAAAGTTACCGAAGTGCAAATTCAGTGTTTGTAAATGAATTGTACCCAAAATTAACACCACAGAACAAAATACGGCAACGTGGCAGCAATGTGGTCGATTCGCCAACCACAACCCATCATACTCTGTAAGTTACCGTTGAACGTGATCACAGGTTTTTGCCGTTTGTAAAGTTAGAAAAATAATTTACAAAAGATTTATACATCAAACTCAAGGTAACACATCACAGTATTATGGTCTTTTATTATCTATTCAGATTTTATTGGCGCTAAGATGATATATCTTGATTTACTAAACATAACCTCAAAGTAGCACATGCTGATTTTACAATTGTTCTATTGAAATGTATTTTCACTCTTGTTTATTTTAAATCTATACAATTATATTCTTTTTTTACGTAAATCTGACTTACTTGAATAATATTTCCAAGTACTTAATTGCTGTGCGGTAGATCAAGTAATTAAATTTTTCAAGTATTTGTATACAAGAATGTACGTATCTTTTGCAGTAAAATGGAACACCGCAATATACTTGAAAATTTACAAAATATGACTCAGGATGATTTATTTGATTACATAGATGGTATTCCATATCAACAAGCCATAAATTCAGATTTTGAGGGTGATTCTGATGCAGAAGATAATCTTTTTATTTCCAACCGAACGTCGGTTGCATCCAACGCAACTATTACTTCATTATCTAATGATGACAAGGTTGAATTTCTTGATGTTGATTCAGATGACTCAATGGATGATATAGCTTTCCACCCTCAGGTAAGAACAAATCGCATTTTTGTCGACGTCGATACTTCCTCAGGCGAAGACGAAATAGAAGAGAACCAAGAGAACTCAGTAAAGTGCGATGATAGATATAAATGGAGAAAGAACGCTTCTGATGCACAAAAATATTCGAATGCGCCGTTTACCAGACCATTTAGCCCAGCAAAACCGGTCAATATAAATTCACCATTCGACGTGTTTTCTTTGTTCATGAGCAAAGATATTATAGCTAATATAATTACACAGTCAAATCTCTATGCTCAACAACAAAATCATAATAATCTCGACCTAACTGAGGAAGAACTGAAAGCATTTCTAGGGGTTCTTATAATCATGGGGTTTCATAAACTACCTAGTTTGAGACATTATTGGTCAACTGATATTAACATGCACGTGCCAAGAGTTTCGCAAATTTTTACGCAAAAACGATTCTTAAAAATTCTTCGTTTCCTCCATCTAAACAATAACGAAAACATGGAAAGAAATCAAAATAACCCCAATTTTGACAAACTGTTCAAAGTAACCCTTTGATGAACAGAACTGCAGCAACGCTTTCAAGAGAACTTTTATACAAGTAGAAATGTTGCGGTAGATGAAAGTATGGTTGCTTTCAAGGGGCGAAGTTCTCTCAAACAATATATGCCGAAAAAGCCCATAAAAAGAGGCTTTAAAGTTTGTTTGTTAAATCACAACATGCTGAATATGGTTTAGGCGCTAAAACGGTATTAGACATTACCGAGTCTCTTAGAGACGCAAACTACTGCATTTATTTCGATAATTTTTTCTCGAGTTTTCCTCTTCTTAAGAAAATGTTAACCTATGATTTGTTCTGCTGTGAAACTTTTAGAATAAATCGTAAAGGCTTTCCAACACAAATGAGAAAGGACAAAACAATGAAAATGGGAGAACACGATTATTTCATGTCCAATAATATGTCTGTTGTTAAATGGAAAGATCGGGGGCGCAAATGCGTTTTAGTCGGCAGTACTATGCATAATCCACTTGAGATTACTTCAGTTTTGCGAAGAAAACCGAATGGTGAACAAGAAAGTATTAAGTGTCCAAAAGCCATAAGTGATTACAATCGCTATATGGGTGGAGTCGATCTATTCGATCAACTTCATGCTTCTTATCCAATTTCATGGAAATCCCGAAGATGGTATATGAAGATTATTTACTATTTGATTGATGCAGCAGTGGTAAATTCATATATAACTTATAAGACTACAATGAAAATGAGGTGCATTAAATCGAAACCAATGAGTCACCTATATTTTAGAAGTGTATTGGCCAACGAGCTCATAGATGATTTCTATAACAGAAAGAGACCAGGACCTAAGGTAACAATAGGAAGAAATAAACTGAAGAAAATGGGAGCAACCACTAATTCTGTTAGCGTTAAAAGTACGGTGAGACTAAGCGATGTTGGCAATCACATGCCAGAAAAAGGAACATCAAGACGTTGTGCACTCTGTTCAACGAGAGCAAAGCCAAAACGTTCAAGTATTAAATGCTCAGATTGTCAGGTTGCATTATGTATTCAATGTTTTCCATTATTTCATAATAAAAATGTTTAATTAATGTGCTTTTTTCTGTGGTCGATTATGGAACCACAACTACATTTACCAAAGTCAACATACCTAATCAGACGGTGGTCGAAATTTCAACCACCTAAAAAAACAAGGAGTGAAAATAAAATGAAAATACGAATGAAAGTTCAATAACGGATAATTCCTTATCTATAATCTGCAAAGAATTTGTTTATATTACCAAAAAATAATTCTGCCCTATAAAGGGTTAAACTATATTTAAGCGTAATCCGAAGAAGGTTATACATTTATAACCTACATTGACTATCTGGAGAAGGTTAACATGGTAGCCGGGCCCTACTACGCCAAAATATTAGGCTGACTTGACCCTAAATTACAGAAAAATGATCCCATTTGTGAAAGAAAAAAGTGACAACGCACTGGCTCATACCTCCGCCTTCTCCATTTCGAAATTGGTCGAATTGGGCTACGAATTGTTGCATCATCGACCGTATTCTCCAGAGTTGACTCCATGCGATTTCCTTTTTGTTTTTAAACCTAAAAAGGGCACTAGCCGGGCAGACATTTAAGTCAAATGAGGAGGTTATTATCGCCACGAAAGCCTATTTTGCAGATCTAAAGAAAACGTATTTTTCTGACGGGTTAAAGAAGTTGAAGTATCGCTGGGTCAAGTCTATCGAGCTAAAAGAAGACTATGTTAAGAGACTAGCAGATAACACTAACAATAATGTTATGATTGCACTATTTTTCTCTGACCAGGACAGCTATTGCAATTTTTTTAAAACCCTGTTATATTTTCAGACAGTGTAGCAAATATAATCGTGCTAATATGATGCAGGGTTGGTAAAAAAACTCCATTGCGCTGATTTTACATATAATCGAGACACAATATAATATAATATTATTACATTGCACGTTTGTCGTGATTTAGTGAAAAATAAAGCAAA